CTTCCTCCCTCGTTTCGGGTGAAAACGTGCTGAGCTTTCGTCCATCATATGATGGACATCGTCAGAGCAGTAGAACTTACCTAGTCCGAAGTCGTCTGCCATATAAGTTCTTATGAGTCCCAGCATCAGACTTGGTACATTCTCAAACGCTTCGCCGGCACCGTAGTTGGCATCATCAGTGAGCCTTGCCATTCTCCGCGCCAAGCTACGAACTCATCAAAGAGAAAAGTGAAGTCAATCCTTCCACCAACGTTCTGTCGACAATGGTTACACTATCACTCCTCTTTCTGTCCTGGTCCATCTATTTACTCTTTACCCTCTTATCCCACTGCCACCCTTTACAACTTTTCGCTTGTGCTCTTTTGTGGCAAATGTAGTGAGGCCTCATCACACTTGCTATTCACTCCGACCTCTCCTTTGATCGGCTCATCCGATTTGGGCCTCCAATCCGGATCCCCTCATTGTCTCGTGGATCCGTCCCTTCTCTTTCTGGCTGACCGATTTCACTCGGTTCCAGTCCCAATGTGCATTTCACTCCAGGCGCTATTTCTCAAGGCCATAGAAACACGTACACTGCCGCCTCACAGAGCAGAGCGCCTAAATTCTGATTCCCATGCTTGCAAATATCAGGTCATCTCCATGATTAGGCCCATGTTATCGGAGCAAACTGTGGACACCAATCTCTGGACGTATGCGGCATCTCAAGTGGATTTCTAGTACATTTCGGCCATAAAGTCGAATTTTTGTGACCGTTTGCTTATCCGTCCGCCTAGTTCCCTGACTGCCAGGTCTCCAAATTTGTACTCGTTTATTCGAAACGGACACCACTCACTGACAACATTTTCGCTTGATTGCCGATTTATTTATTGACTTTCAAACATATAAACTTTGCCAATTTGTGTGTTGCCTCATACATGTTCTTGATGCTGGAAATTATGATATTTACTATTGCAGAGGACTTCGGATTAGGTGCGTTCTACTAAGTCCCCCTGACAACAAGCCCAAGTTTCTATAAATCGAAAGAGGACTGTGACCATACCGTCTTGGTCCTCATATCTTCGATTAAAATTCGGTAGTAAAATTGCCAGACAATTGTGAGTCAATCTTCCCATATTACTTTTTTAAACTGTTGTAAACGTTGTGCTATCACTCCTAAGTTCTGTGACCTTAAGAGGCCCTACCACTCGGATAAGGTTAATGACTATCTCCATCAGGCTTCGATTCATAAACTAAGTGAAACTTATGTTACAGAGAGGAATACGCTGTTTAAGTTTATAGATATTAAGTCAAAGCTCCGACGTGATCTGGTCAGGATATTACCTCCAGAAGACTTTTAAAAACTCCAGAGCATGACCGACAGGAAATCACGTAGGATTTCTGACTTAATAGCGAAACGGTGCAGTTTGGGATTATAAGACAGCCAAAGGTAAAGCCAGCACGCCCAGTTGAAGTGGCCTCCGAGGTGACAACACCTACTGTTCAGCATGAGGATCGGAAGAAAGTACTAAACTTATCATCAATTCCTCCCGAAACAACCGCGTACCTGGAAAAAGTACTGAAAAAGTGCTTCTATGGCCTTGAGAAATATTGGCTAGAGTGAAACTCACACTGGGACTGGAACCGAGTGAAATCGGTCAACTAAAGAGATAAGAAACGGATCTACGAGACAATGAGTGGATCCGGATTGAAGGCCCGAGTTGGATCCGGATTGAAGGCCCGAGTTGGATCCGGATTGAAGGCCTGAGTTGGATCCGCCGATCGGGGTGAATAGCAAGTGTGATGAGACCACACTAGATTTGCCACAAACGGGCACACATCTTGACGAGTGGAATGTAACCATGTCAGAAGTTGTCGCGGCAGTGGGATAAGAGAGCAAAGAGTAGATAGATAGGCCAGGACAGAAAGAGGAGTGATAGTGTAACCGTTTTCGCCAGAACGTTTGTC